GCTGAAATATGATGGGGGAGGATTACAGATTTGGCTCCAGGATTTTGTGAAAACACATGGAAGTAGCACATTAATATTAGTCAAGGACTGAAAGAGCCTTTTTAAGAAGTTGAGATAAATTTTGGCAAAATCAGGTTGCCCTGAGAAGCATTCAATGTACTGTGAGGGAGTTGCCCAAAAAATTATGATTTTTTTCCCCCTTGTTCAGTTTATTTAAATAGTAAAAACCTGGAGTCTGTGTCTCCTGCTAAGTCGCACCCCTGAAGTTACGAGTTAGACTGTACATACGGTGGGCCTGTGTTTTTCATTATGTTCCCTTGCTCGTTAGGGTTTGCAGTTAGTCCGCGTTACACGTTTCTTTCGTGTTTTTCTTGAACTTCATGAACTCTGGCATTTCATTTCATGGATGTATATCCAAGGGAAAAGTAGCCTTCCTTTGATCTTCCTTGGGACCCCATTATGTTGAACCTAAGAAAGATTAGGGAGTTTTCATTCAGCGCTGAACAAACACAAAATTCAGCTGCAAAGATGGCGGGTGCTTAATCTATTTACAACATTGACTCCATTATGAGCTAATTCCACACCAAGCAGATTTTTGAAAAGCATTCTTCTGAATGGAATTCCCATCTGCCTTCGGGGGCTAGATGCATATGGCCCACAGTACTGAATGTATTGGCCTCACAAAGGAATCTATTTAGCACGAAATATTTAAACGGTAGAGGGTTTTTAAACTTTGAAATCACTGTCGCTGTTGGTTTCCCAGATGGTAGTCAAGTTGTATTAGTGCTTTGTGCTGGCTCTCGCTGTCTCCCTGAACTGAAGGAGCAGTTTCTGGAAAGTGCCTTCACCTTCTAGTTGTATTTGTAATAACATCTGCTCCACAGTGGTGAGGCAAGTCTGCTCCAGCCCTTGGACAAACAATCCTCTGAGCCGGGGTGAACTTGGAGGGGCACCGCTCGGCCAGCACCTGGAGAACCAGACAGCTCAGCTCCCTTCTCCCCATGCTGGGTTTCCAAAATGGGTTTCAGAACGCTGCCCTTTTAAATAGCACTTTAAAGTAACATGTAGGTCTAATTGTGACATATTTTTTTTTCTAGCCTTAAAATGAGAAAGGAAGAGCAAAACAAAATCAAGCGTTAGCCTGTTAGGATTTTCAGTTCCCTGTCAACCCATGGCATGGATGGAGATTTATTTTCCTAATAAAGGCTCCAATGTTAATGGTGGCACTTGCTAGAATCAGTTAGGACTAAGTGTTATTTAATTCACAGTGAAGCTACAATCTGCCTGGACTGTGATTAGTTCCAGCTTTTAGCTATCATTTATAGGTCACCAGGCGGCTAACAACCTCAATTGAGGGACCATTATCTTTTGACAAGATGAAGCTTTTTCTGGGGGGTGGGAGGGGAGAGAGAGGAGTTCTACCCAGAAAGCCCAGCTCAATATTCTCCATGGGAATGATTTCACTCCTAATAGAGCTTTGCTGCCATTTACTCAAAGGAACTACTCCAGTTATGTGTCACTGAACAACAGGGATACATTCTGAGAAATGCGTCATCAGGTGATTTTGTCGTTGTGCAAACATCACAGGGTGTACTTACACAAACCTAGGTGGTATAGCCAGCTACACGTCTAGGCTATATGGTGTAGCCTATGGCTCCCAGGCTATAAATCTGTACAGCATGCAACTGTAGGAATACTATAGGCAACTGTAACACAATGCTAAGTATTTGTGTATCTAAACATAGAAAAGGTACAGTAAAAATATGGTATTATAATCTTATGAGATCACCACTGTATATGCAGTCTGTCATTGAATGAACGCTGATTTGTGGTGCATAACTGTTGTGGATTCCAGTTAGGTACAGTAAACGCACGGCCATTCATTTATCCACTCAGCAAGTGTTCCTTGAGTGGAGCATTGCAGGAGAGTGTAAACAGAGTTCCCTGGTACAAAGGCTAATATTCAGCCTGTACATACTGGTATGGCTGTTCTAATCTTTTTTTTAATATAACCTTTATGCATCATGATGGGTTGAGGGATTTGTTCTGATTGGTGGGTACCAGTGCCATATTGATTGTTAAATATTCTAAATAACACCTTTGCCTGGAACAACAGTCTTGTGAAACCTACTTTTTCTCCGAGAAAATGCCATTTTAAATGAAACCGTCTCCCCATGAAGATAAAATGTTTTGAACAGTGCTTAGGACAAAGTAAGCACTGGATATATTTTATCATCCGAATCATCATCATCCTCATTATGAGACAAGAATAGCCACACAGATGCAGGCCAGAAGGTAACAGACCTGTTCCACTTTTGAAATGTAGCCTTAGAAAAGATGCAAATCA